TGATACTTGTCTGCTCAGATGTGAAGTTACCTATTGATACAAAGTATTTCCTGTTTTCTAAGTATGTTTTGAACCATTTTAGTACAGTTCCTGAAAGACCTGCCCAGTTCTCCAGCTCCACAGTGGAGCTCACAGTGGACATAAATGGATTTTTTACTCCTCTTTTAAACCATCTGTCCTCTCTGTCCAAAATGTGAACATTGACATCCTCAAAAGAGTGACCTTTGTCCTTTAGATGCAGATTGACCGCCGAGTCTTTTCCCGTGGAGGTGGCTCTTCTATGTTGTGCCATATATTTGTGAAGTGGCTGTTTGATCTCTCCAATGTAGAGGTCTAGGCATTCCTCGCTGCACTGTACAGCAAACACCACATTGTTAAGTTTGTGTTTAGGAGTTTTGTCTTTAGGATGAACCAGTTTCTGTGTGAGTGTGTTGCTGGGTCTGAAGTATACTGGGATATCGTGCTTGGAGAAGACTCCCGAGTTTTCAATTCAATTAAATTTTTTAATTCAATTTTATTTAATTAAATTTTATTTATATAGCGCCACATCACAACAAAAGTTGCCTCAATGCGCTTTATATTGCACAGTAGATCGTACTGTACAAAGAAAAACCCAACAATCATGACCCCCTATGAGCAAGCACTTTGGCGACAGTGGGAAGGAAAAACTCCCTTTAAACAGGAAGAAACCTCCAGCAGAACCAGGCTCAGGGAGGGGCGGGGCCATCTGCTGCGACTGGTTGGGATGAGAGAAGAAAAAAAGGATAAAGACATGCTGTGGAAGAGAGAAAGAGATTAATAACATGTATGATTCAATGCAGAGAGGTCTATTAACAGATAGTGAGGAGAAAGGTGACTGGAAAGGAAAAATTCAATGCATCCTGGGAATCCCCTGGCAGCCTACACCTATTGCAGCATAACTAAGGGAGGATTCAGGGTCACCTGGTCCAGCCCTAACTATATGCTTTAGCAAAAAGGAAAGTTTTTGAAAGTAGAGATAGTGTCTGTCTCCCGAATCCAAACTGGAAGCTGGTTCCACAGAAGAAGGGCCTGAAAACTGAAGGCTCTCTCCATCCCATTCTACTTTTAAATACTCTAGGAACAACAAGTAGGCTTGCAGTGTGAGAGCAAAGTGCTCTAATAGGGTGATATGGCACTACAAGGTCATTAAGATAAGATGGGGCCTGATTATATAAGAGCTTGTATGTGAGGAGCATGTTGCGCAAATCGAAGCAAAAAATCTTACATATTTGTTTAATATGTGCATTGAAGGACATGTCCTGGTCAAAAATGACTCCAAGTTTTACTGGAGGCCAAGGTAATGCCATCCAGAGTAAGAATCTGGTTAGATACCATATTTCTAAGATTTTCAGGGCCGAGTAAAATAACCTCAGTTTGATCTGAATTAAGAAGCAGAAAGTTAGAGGCCATCCAGGTCTTTATGTCTTTAGGACATTCCTGCAGTTGGAAGCTGGAACAAGCTGGAACAAGGTTGCTCCTTCAGCTGATATCCACAGCTGATATCCACAGACTGTGGTCAGAAGTTGCCATCCACTCTTCATGGGCATGAGTGTTATGAGCCATGAGTGTGAGTGCTCTCTGATGATTTTTGTTTTGAGTGTTTCAGAATCAGAATACTTTATTAATTCCTAAGGAAATTATGTGGATTACAGTTGCTGTAAGACAGTAACAGTAACAGACTAAATATTTAATTAATACAAATAATAATACAATGCATTAAAGAGTTTACCGCTCTAACTACAAGCTAAAGGAAAAAGAAATGAGTAAGAAAAAGTCAAGCTAAAGAGAAAAAGCAGGAGCAACTGTAACAGGCATGCACATATTTTTCTTGTGACAATCTTTGTCTCACACGTTGGAAACCCTTTTATTTGTAACTGTCATTCCTAACACAGCAGGCTGGAACATGCCCTGGATTCCTTTTGCTTTTTGACAGATTAGGTTGACTTATACACAAGGATGGAGCTATAGTTTGTGGAGTTACTAAACTTAATGCTCTTGGCTTCTCACAGAACCAAGTGCATGCTGCGTTAAAGTGACAGAGGACAAATGTATTCTTTTAAACTTTAAACAATGAAGAGCAGAGGTCGTGAACATCAGACCAACAACAGAACAATGAGAACACAAACATTGTCATGTTCTATATGGATCCAGCCCCTCAACATGGACACAAATCTCTACAAATATAAAGCAAATTTGTGTTCATATAGATGAAATAAA